CGTCTATACTTACGCGTATGGTAGGGCTGTCTCCTGTCGGTTCGCTTATACTCCGCACGCCCTGTCCGGTCGTTGATTGTTGCCGTGCTTCTGAAAGGCTGCGGATAGTGTTTATTGCAGTGTTTTCTGTTGGTGTCGCGGTTGGTCTCCATGCAGGGAGAGTTGACGTTGTGCGTTCCGCACGTCTTGTGGATCATATACTTTAGTACCTTTTCTCGGAGAATACCGTTTGCAAGTTCGGCACTGGGAACTTGGGCCCAAACCCATTCGTCAATCTGGTCTAAATGGTCGGGACCACCATTTTTAAAAGTCATAAGGATGTGTGCGTGTGGATATCCCCTTTTTTGAAACTCGATTACACTCAAATGGCTGTCATTTTCGCCAAAGACTCTTCCGCTCTTTAATTATTTCATCAAGGCATTGAACTCCAACTTAAAAACCCGGCAACAGAAATCTGGACGGTCATATGCGCTTTGCCCGTTCAAGAGGTTGTCTTTCACCTCCCTGCAGTCAGCATTGAACTTGACGGTAATGAATAAGTGAGGCTTTCCCCTTCTGTTGACAATAGCCAATGAATCTTCTGTATCAAACTTGCGTTTGCTCATGGATCCTGGGTGACCTGCTGGAAGCAGCTTTCCGGGCTGTGATTCTGAGGAACTTTGTCGAATGGATCGATCTGTGGCGAGTCTGCGTTGTAAATGGCCGTGTTCAACAAAAGTTAAACGGTCCTCCTCCATTCTACTCAGCAAGTCGCAAGCCCATGCTTGAGTAATGCGACAGTTTCGTTTAAAAATCGGTTCGCAAAGCAGACGTTGCCGGCAATAGAAGGGGAAAGTAATATGCGCGTCATTTGTCTTGATCATCGTTTTTGATTTATGTGGAGGATCATCGTCTGGGTGTCCTTAACTCCAACCTGCGTTTCCGTGCAGCATCAACATTGGAAACTGAAGAGTTTCGTAGGCGGCACTCCAAAGTGGCAGGAATCTTGGTTTGTTGTCAGGACTGTTTCTTCGGTGTGTCACTACTGGGTGAGGTCCGTTGTTCTGTGTGTTTGAGTCGTAAACCAGCGCAGCAATTTCTGGGGCTGATACGGCGTCACCCACAACTAGCCCGTCATTTGCACGACTCACTTGAGCAAACTCTATGCACGATGTGTTGGCATTGTCGGCGGATGTGAGACTTATGATGCTTACGGCTGCACGGTATTGTGCCGCCCATGGAATGTTGGTGTTGAAGTGTTGGCGCAGAGTATTCGAAATTTGATTGTCAAGGTGTTGGGATGCTGATTGGGACTTGAATTCTGAGTCGTAGATATTAAATCTGGCGTTATTTGTAACGTTCATGTCGGTGTACTGCTCCTGCAAGTCAAACATTCTGTGGTACGCTCTTCCGTGGAGGGTCAACATACGTGGTCGGGACGGAGATTGTTTTGTCTGCGGTTTTGTTGCACAATCTGTTCTCTACGTGTAGTCTGTCGTGCCAAAGTTCCACGTGCAGCCGAGGTTCTCCTTGAAGCAGAACGCGTTACACGCTGTTCTGTGGTGCTCTGTTCAGTATTGGTTGTTGGCCGAAGCGGTCGTTGCCGAGCCGGGCGTGTAGCAGGTCGTGAACTGTATCGATCTGTAGAAGAATTTTGTCGTAGAGTTGTTCGCTGTGATTGTCGCCGAGACATCGATCGTGTAACACGAGAGTCTGGCTCTTGCCGTGAAGGCACTTGAGGTGGACGCATCCGCTTATGACTTATGAGGGCTGGCTTAAAAAAATATGGGACTTAAAAGTTGAAAATAAAATTACAATGTAAATACAGATGGTACAGATGAATGCTAGCATTGTGCCGGTGACAGCGCGCCTGCGAGTGCTCAGACCCGGAAACCAACGTTGAGGACATCACCGACGGCTGTACCGGATATATCGAGGAGGGCGCCTACGTCGTCGAGGACTGGAGCGACCCGCCGCTTGACCTTCACTGCGCCAAGCGCCTGTGGCGCGCCAAGGACGCTTGGCGCAGGGAAGGTCAAGCGGCGGGTCGCTCCAGTCCTCGACGACGTAGGCGCCCTCCTCGATATATCCGGTACAGCCGTCGGTGATGTCCTCAACGTTGGTTTCCGGGTCTGAGCACTTGCAGGCGCGCTGTTACCGGCACAATAGACACGAGGGTGGGGGAAAGAAGCAAAATTATGATTATTTGAGCTGTCTATTAAACGTGGCGACGTACTTTTAAATCGCGAGCTCATTTGAATTACAGACATGGAGCACGGCAGCACATACATACCCCAACGATTTCACCGGTGGCGAGCGTGGCGTTCTTGTACTTCTCTCCGTCGGAGGTCTTCGCCCCGCAGCAGGTCGGCCAACAGGCGTGAAGATTCAGCCACTCTGCGTTGAAGTTGCGCGTAAGGAGACAACAATTTCATCAAAGAGAGAGGATGAACCGAAAGTTACATCGAAGCATAAATATGAATTCGGCTTCAAGGGATGTAAGCGAAGGACGTCAACAACGACAGCGATATGGAGGTGGACACACTTCGTGCCCTACCGAAAAATTAAGTTATGCATACACCGAGTACAATTACAGCGGGCGGGCTCCGCGCGCGTCACGCGATGNAGGAGACAACAATTTCATCAAAGAGAGAGGATGAACCGAAAGTTACATCGAAGCATAAATATGAATTCGGCTTCAAGGGATGTAAGCGAAGGACGTCAACAACGACAGCGATATGGAGGTGGACACACTTCGTGCCCTACCGAAAAATTAAGTTATGCATACACCGAGTACAATTACAGCGGGCGGGCTCCGCGCGCGTCACGCGATGACGAAGAAATGAATTACACCGGGCGAGTTGAGAGTTGCTTACCGTCGCGGCCCTGAGAGTTCCTCTCCCCCGAAAGCACACCGAGAGACGGAGTTCCTCCAACGGAAGTCAAGCAGAGCTGGCAGATAGGAGGGTCAGACCCGCGCGCGCTCAGTATAGAGCGGGAAACCTGGCAGGTGGTGGGGTCTTGGGTGTCCTTCTGATCGCACGGCGAAAAAAGGCCGCCTTTCGGTTTGGGGACCACCTTTAGGAGTCCGGGAGCGCAGAGGATGCTTGGGCAAGGCCAGAGAGGATTGCCGGCTATAAACTTACGCTTCGAGGAGAGGAGGTCGATTTGATCTTTTTGGCGGGAGACCCAGAGAACATTTTCACTCCAACTCGGGGTGCAAACGTAGTAGCGGTAGAAGCTGACGGGAATGAGATACTGATGTAATCGGGGTGGGGAGCAGCAGATGTCATGTAAACCCGTTAACAATGAAAAATTCCACGTGTCACTTACAGACGAAACGTTACATATAGTTACGCCGCGTTTCGAACAGGCACTTTGCCATGACGCAGAACCAAATTCTCATAAAACGTGCCCTCCGCACTCGACACACGACTAAAGTTTTTAATGATTCTCCGCATCCCATGCGTGAAGATTCAGCACCGGACTCAAACACACCCAAACGAAAGCTCAGCATGGGATGTACTCCGTAGCCCAAAGCGGGTGCGATGGCACCGACACAGAAAAGACAACACGCCACACCCTATTTTTTTGACAGAAGTATTCCTGTGCGCTGAACACGCGCGATTGCGCGGAAAACAGACCCTCAATCAAAGAGCCGGAACCCTTATGTCGGCGAAAGTATGTATGACGTCACCGGAAATATCGGTCGACGGCTTCAGACGGATGTAACTCTGCCACCACGTCGAAGCTCGAGGTCGCAGGTGGCGCGCCTGTACCCAAATACCCCGGTAAGCCACATGCTGCAAGAAAAAAGCGCGCATGCATCTGGGCGAGCGAGCACAAAAAGATGTCCACGTTTCCAGCAACCCCTCCAAAGATCAGAATGCGAGTGTCTTGCGATTTGAACGGGCGACTCCCCGCAACCCATCGTTGAGCAGCGATTTCGCAGCGCGCAGAGCGAATGTTGATGGCGTAGGTGGCGCGCTGTGATGGAATCTAGCAGAACACGCAGTAGCTTCGACTCGTAGTGAACGCATCTGTGCACCGAGCTGTAGGTGAATTTTCTCCAAATGGGAAAATCCTAAAAGTGAGATGTTGTACCTGTCTGGCTAAATGAATGATGTGACGTCACCGAAAACACCAGCTTTGAGCTTCGAACGGCCGTAGCTCGGCGCACAGGGTGAATCTCGAGGCCGTGCGTGGCGCGATGTGTAGGCTGAAATCAGCAGAACACACACGGGCTTCGATTCGCGATTTAAGCGCTTGCGCGCAGAGCTTTCGGTGAATCTCCGAAAGTTGGCAGAACCTTTTTCGGTAATATTAGTTATCGCTATTACGAAGAGTAGACTCAACTTTTTGCCCGCACGTTGTGCTGTATGCTGCGGTCCAACAAGCTCCACCTCTAAACGGGCAGAGATGCATGTTTATACACATAAATTAACATGATGAATGTGTGTGTTGTTTTGGTTGGTTTTTGTCTCCCCCCCCGCCCCCGCCCGGCTGTTGCTGGTGGGGCAAATTTAAATGTTCTACAAAGTTGCTTGTGTAGGCATCATCTGGCCATTCACAATCAATATGTCGCTATTCATTTTTCATCATCTGTCGTCATACTACGCATGCTTCGTGTGGATGTACGAACTATTCCTTCTGTCCCTTTCTGTGGGACAATGTGTGCTTATTTGCTTTTCATGGATGGCTGGGCATTGTCGTGACTGTTGAGTGCTGCAGCAGGTGAGCGCATTCACCCACGCACCTAGGGTGAAGATCTATCTCCACATACACACACACAACATCGCTCTTCATTTCGCAAACCGCAAGTTACTCAACAAAATAATCAAGAACAAATCTCGACTTTTTCACGGACCATCACCTGTCTGTGTTTCATTTTATGTATCTTAATCTGTCATTCTGCGAATATCCGCCTTCGTATGTACTCTGTCGCGCTTGACGCGCTCGTGCTTTTGAATCTCAACACGCTCTGCCGCCCATCCATGTCCGTCTCTTGTTCCGTCCGCAGCGCTCGCAGGGAGAGGTATTTTCGCCATCGACCTCCTCTTCAGCCTCGCCGGGGGGTGGAAGACCTTCACCGCTAGACCTCCATCTGGGCGAGGACGACAACCTTGGCGAGGGCTGTTCGATCATGGACGCGTTAACGAAGACCCCCGAGGGAGGAGCTGCGCTTCAAGCCCTCATTGCGCGTGTCGCCATGGCGAACGCCACCCAGACAGTCGAGCAGTCTGCTTCGAGTCGACAGGTGAGAGAGGGACATCCGACGCCTCACGAAGATTTGCGCCGCTCACACCGTATATATCGCCCTGGTTGCATGCCCCAGGCTAAGTTAGCATATGTTCAGGCTACTCGACCGCCGGAGTGTGGGGCGTTGGTGGCGGCTTCTTACATCACCATAAACAGAAACGCGTGCGGTTCAACACAAAAGAAAACGTCCAGGCTGTGTTGCTGTTGTTGTTGTCTTCACATTTATAACCGTTTCGTTCTCTCTGTCGGTACTAGTCCAACACTTGACGGGTTCGATTCCCGTGGTCACAGGCTAACTTACCCAAGGAAGGTAGACAAAAAATAAAATGGACCCGAAGGGTCCGCGAGCCAGTGTGCTCGTGGAAATACGAACCCTACGGAACAAAGTAAAGGTCACGCACCATAGATCACACGACATACATTGTATACATGCTGGAAAGCTGAGTGTCGGTGTATTTCATGCATTGACGTCCCCTCTCAGCGGCTGTGGTATACAAGGTATCCAGTAGTGTTGTCAAGGCTAGGTTTTGTCACACCATCAAGAGCTTGCGCCAGGATTCATTGAAAGGGACGCCACCAAAGGCATGTGTGGAGCTATGACAGTGTATTCGTGCTTCTGTGTTGCTTATTTTCTGGAGTCTTGTGCCTGGTTTCTGACACGATTTCTGCTGATCTCGGGACATGCCATCAGGACATTGGGATATGCAGCGTACAGTTGTGAAGCTGGTCCTGGAATATTTATTTTGTTGCCGTCAGCTCTTTTGATCAGTTTTCACTGCCTGCCATCGATGCGGGCGAGAGAGCACGCACGCGGGGATGACCTTTCGGGAAGCACATAGTATGTTTAGAGTTGGCGTTCGCGTACATCGCGTGCCGCTCTCCCAGGGACGCTTTTTATCTCACTGCAGACACACACTCCTCTGTCCTGTGGTCAGAGCCGGTTGCAGTGCGATCGATTTTTATGACACACCTGTATTTCGGCTGCACACGCACATATTTACAGCATATTTATGCATAGGCCGCTGTCATCTCCGTCTGCCACAGTATGTCTCTCATATATGCATCCAGACACCCCCACGATACCGTCCTGGCGGTGGCGATGTTGTGTGGATTGTCTCTTTCAATTATCTCAATTGCACTACGCATTTTGTGTGTTGTGTATTTAGCCGTAGTATTATATTGTGCCGGAATCTCTGTGCCAGTGCTGTGTGCGCCAACCGTCTCATAGATGTGATTGGGCTCGCCGACAAAACCACCTGACACCATGTCATCCTGCCCGAAACATTTCGACCGTGTAACCCTCAACGCAGATTGCACTGACGCCTGCTACGTCGCGAGGTGAAAGAGAAGGGCAGGACGTCACTCAGTGGCATGCGGTGCGCTATCCTGGCGCCCATCACGGGAGCTTACATCGGCCCGAAGGTCTACCTGAAGGACAAGGACGGTTCTGTCCTGGTGACCACAGACAAGGCATCTTTGGACAACTGCACTGCAATGGCAGCGGCGGCTGCCGTGCTGGGCACTCCGCAGTCCACCCCCAAGCAACTCAAGAGTGAGTTTGTCCTTGCTCAAATCATGTTGTCTGTGTAAATCTCTCGTGCGTGCGTGCGTGCGTGCGTGCGTGCTACGGTCATGCCGCTCTTGTTTTGCCAAGGCTGTTGCGTGTCCAGTTTAATTCCGTGTTTTTGGTTCCCTCTCTCTGCGGGTGTTGTGGTCTGCCAGGGAAGAAATATGCAGACCCGAGCGATCTTATTGCGGCCAGCAGGAAATGTTTCTGCCGTAGCGATTCAACTTGTCGGGGGCGTCACACAACATGCTTATTCGGGTCACGTGTGCGGCGAAGACGATGAAGAGTGCCCTGATTTTCCGATACCTGTGATGAAGGTCCTACATTATGTATAACCTCGCGATGATACAGGCCTTTGTTTAGGCAACAGAGGGGGTGTGGTTCCTCGTCCTGGCACGATTGGGGTTTCTAACCCGGCGTTTTATTTTCTCGCCATCCGAATAATTATTATTCCATATACTTCGGAGAATGTTTTTTTTTCGAGTAAAAAAATGAACCATAGGAACAACAAAAAATGTAACGATATGAGGCCTAAGGTTAGGGTTAGGGTTCGTAGCGAGCCCTCTTCAAAGCCACCCACCCGTAGGTGTCTTACTTGTGCTTCTTGTGCTGTAGTTTTGAGAGAGACCACTACGCGCTGGAACGCGGGGCAACGAAGTTTGGCGAGAGTAGACTGCCTTTCGAAAAATGACATACCGTTCCATCGCTGTACAGGTTTTTCGGCACGTGTCACCGGTGGAGTTGTATTCTATCTCTCCACCGACCGAACCAACAGCAAAATGGCACAGCCCCCCTCGGACAGAGAGCAGCAAGAGGGGTTATCTCGCGAGCGAAGAATGAACATTTTGTCCGTCGATTTGGTGCGTGTTGGGATGATGCTGCGTGCGGGTGGGTCTGGCCTTTGCGGGTCTGAGGAAGCGGTGTGTGCGTCAGCTGGCCCACATTTGGCTTTGAGCCCAACTGGCCACACGGCAACTTCAAATGAACGGCTGGGACAGGAGGTGGTGGAAGCCGTTGATGAGCTCGCTACGACCAGTACTTTCTGCGCAATCGATGTCGTTGTCCTTGTTGTTTGCACCTGCAAACGCTTAAAAGAAACACGCAATCCAGTCAAGAATTGTCATCGTTTCGGAGCGCGTGCGACCGGTTGGAAAAAACGTGAAAAGTAAAATGTGCCTGCAGATATGTGTAATTTCCGATCCAACAAGAAACAGTTTCTTATCCGATAATCAGATACGACTTCTACTTTTTTGTGACGGGCAACAACGACATATTTTAACAGCCTGGATGTCCGTGGGCCGCGGGGATATTGAATATGAAACCTGGAGCCTAAGTCGTCAGTGGATATGACGCTCCCCTCGCGACCTTGACGCCTTTTCCATTTTGGATTGGGTGCAGTTCTTCCACCACCAGAATTCATGCTCAAGTTAACACCGCCGACTCATCCTCCCTTTGATGTCAATCTCTCAGACTACGCCATGAACACTGTTTCTGGTCGGCGTTCCGACTTCATGTCAGCCCAGAGGCGTGCGACTCGGGAGGCTCTGCATGGTCTGGTCGACATCATTCGCGATGGGCGTTGCGTACCCCCTTTTTTAGAGGGTGAGCCAGACCCTGAGTCAGGACCAGAAGAAATCGTGAACGGTATTTCCTACCTGGTGGTCGACCGGAACTGCACCGAAGCAGAAAAGGTGTCCTTCATTCGGGTAAACCTGTGTTCTAGGCCACCCTCCTCTGCGATAGAGAGGATAATACTGTATAAGTTGCCTGGTCGTTTTTGCCCACTATTGGTGCAGGAAATATGAGTCCATCAAGGGCGTCGGTGACGAGGTACTTCTTGTGCTGGAGTTTGCCCGGGCATCGTTTTGTGAGTTCTCTTGTACGTCTACTCTTTCGCATTCGTTTCCAGGTGTAGTATGTATCTCACAAAGATCTAGGACGTCCACTCATGCATGACCCTCGTTTATGTATGATTTCATGACGACCCCCATCCGAAGAGCATTCCATTCAAGATCACATTATAACAAAACACAAAACCGAGAATGCTGATCTGCGTTGATGGAAGCGTTGCCCGGCAGATTTTAGTTCGATGGGCTGCAACCCGCACCCCTGTGCTTTTGCCTTTGGCACCTATGTGTTGTGCGCCAGACGTACAGTTCCTGTGTCTCATGTGCCTCCTTCGCTACGGTCCGCCAATAGTATTTCAGCGTTCCGAGTCATGTCGAAAATTAATTGCATGATGACACTGTTCCATAGCAGATTTTTACTTGATGTCCCATTTGTTAATAATCGATGTCATATTTGATTGCCAAGATGCCGGTCGCCCCGGTGGTGTAGTGGTATCCTCGTAACCCGCTAGTCGCAGAGGTCGTGAGTTCGAATCCCCATGGGGTGAAAAATTTACGAAATTTGCGGGTGAAAGCGAGAAAGAACTAAAAAGCCCTCGTGAGTACCAAACTTCGACGTTAGCACCGTTGACGCGGGAAAGAGACGGCTGGACCCTTGTCGCGATAAAAATAAGATTCAGCACGCACCGCAGGAGGAAGGTGGGGCATGAAAAGAAATAAAAAGAAGAAACAAGCCCTGGTGCTTACCCCCTCCTGTGTGACCTTGGATGGTTGTAATTGTACGAAATAATACACTGAAAAGTGTAGTAGTCTACATACGCTGAAGAATGTAGTACACGTCTCACCACAAAAAAAGGGGGGACTGTCGCCATAATAAATAGGACGAAAATACGCACACACATGCGCCGCCCGTACGAAACGCTGAACTGTTTCGTCGACGTCCCTGTAGATACTCAAGCAGCACGCCAGAACCACGTGGTCAATGATATTCGACGTAGGATACACCTTGTGACCCCGGTTGGTCGTCTAGCTGGTAGAAGTGGAGGACAGGGACCAGAGGGGCAGACGACAGAGTCCAATGATGGGAGACAAACAACAACACCATGCTGGCTGGCAGGGCAATACCTTTGAGCAAGTATACGGCGGTGACGTCTTCACCGAGGACCTCGCATATGAGATAACGTTCGCTAGTTATGCCCTCTATGTTGGGTTGAAACGATAGACCGCCATTTGTTCACCATGCTTGAAGAGTGCCGATCAGAAATGCAGTGGCTATTGGATTGTGATGATGTGTGTTTCTGAACTCCACTTGATGTACTGTGTGAAGACCCCTTGTTGCTGAAAATAAATAAATATGTATGCCTACAAATTGGCTGGTTGCTCGATCCGAGGACGGATGCTAGTTTTTGTTGCTATTGATCGATACGCCTATGTGCAGAAAAGGATTGACGGCGATGACACCAAGAAGCAGCGTTTCACAGATCGTCGATAGACCCTCGTCCCTATAGCACCTCACCATACTGCTGCATGTCCGATGCATTTGTTCTTCCCCCGTTGTATGTACTTCATTTCCCTCGAAATCAGTTTTCCCTATCGATCATCACCAGTGCGACGAACATGCTTCGCATGGAGCCCACGTCTGCAGCGTGCTTGGAACAAGTTGCTAAGGGTCCTCCTGAGGGTTCGCCCTTCTCGTTATCGCTGTCCGATAGGAACCCGACAGCACCAGCGTCGAGGCCATTATGCATGATGTCGTTGCCTTCAGCCTCGCCGTCGCCCCCTGTGTTTCACGTACGTACAGCGACCAGATCGAGGGGAACGAGCAAGAAGGCGACGGCGACGAGTCGGGGCACGACCGCGAGGGCCAGCAGCAGGTCGAGGGCAATGGTGAAGAAGGGAACGAACAAGTCGACGGCAACGGCGGACAAAGCGGCGACCAGGGCAGCGACCTCGAGTCGGGGCAGGACAAGGAGGCAGATAGCCAGGAAGGCAACAAATTTACCCGTACGGCGGACTTAACCTTTCATTCAGTGCCATGTAGTTTCTCTCCGTGCATGATGTCGTACCCCAGCCCACTGTTTTTTTTACTCTTGTGTGATGAGGTGGTCCTACAGGAGACGTTTTTCATCAGTTTACACAGGGGATCCCCAGGGGGAGCGGTATGAGACGACGTTTTCCTTGTTTAGGTAAAGGCAAAATTATGAGTGAAGGCTTTTGGGAGGAGATGCAGGGGCTTTCGTTGGCGAGATGTGCGTTGATGAATATTCATCGCAAGCAGAGAAATACAGAGTACAGACCAGGATGTGCGCATGGCAAACGCTTTTTTCATGCCAATAGTAACGCGTGTGGGAAAATCTTGGAATTGAATGAGAGGGCGTGGACGGGGGGCTGCGCGTTGTAAGCGCATGCGTGTAGCGTGTGACGTACAACACGCGTTATTTTTGTTCAGTAATATAAGATGGGTCTAATAGAAACCTGTCTCCTCAGCGTTTGTGCAAATTTGCATAGTGTACCCTATACAGTGGGGTCTCAAAACTAAAAATAAAAGGCTCTGGGGGTCTCTTCAGCATGCAGAGCGGGTACAGACAGACAACCCTCTAGAGGCTTTCATTTTTGTTGATCCCTCGTAGGGAATCTAAGGAAAATGGACAAAGAACCCTGTGAGGGACTTGAACTCACAACCCCTCTAGCTGGCTGACTTTACCAACCCTCTGGAGGTCTTCTCAGCCTGCAGAGGCTACGAACAAAAATCCTTTAGAGGGTTTTCATTTTTCTATGCCCCTAATAGGGCATAAGGAAATATGGGCAAACAAACCCTCTGAGGGACTTGAACACACAAGCCCCTCAGAGGGCTGAGTTTGGCAACCCTCTGGAGGTTTTTTCAGCCTGCAGAGGCTGCAAACAGAATATCCTCTGGAGGGTTGCCAAGCGACGAAAACCCAACCCCGATGGCAAACACCGGGGGGGTCGAACAAAAACGGCAACCCTCCAGAGTTTTGACTTCGTCCTCCCCTTAGAGGGTTTTTCGATGAGCGGATTGGCCACGTGTGTTTGATTTTTTTTCCAGCAGAGCAAGATGTTGAAGATTCGGCCGAAAGGCCAACTCGGAGCAAATCTTGGGCCAAGATCTGTCCAAAAGCTGGTGTTGGAAAAACTCTTGCGTGAAAATCGCGCGTCTTGAACAAATCAAACCTGGGCCCTGGCGAAAAATGTAGGCGATCTGTTGACATCTCAGCCAAAGCTGTGACTGTTCTCAAAGGTCGAACAGCTAATTCGCATTCGTCNGGCCAAGATCTGTCCAAAAGCTGGTGTTGGAAAAACTCTTGCGTGAAAATCGCGCGTCTTGAACAAATCAAACCTGGGCCCTGGCGAAAAATGTAGGCGATCTGTTGACATCTCAGCCAAAGCTGTGACTGTTCTCAAAGGTCGAACAGCTAATTCGCATTCGTCTGGGAGGCAGACTGCCCACAAGGTCGAAAAAGCCAACATTTGTCGAAAGAAAGGAAGATAAAAGTTTTGGAAACCATAAACATGGGTTTTACTGCTGTTTCCTTCTAATATTTTTCTCTTGTTCTCTTTTTCTCTCTTTTTCTGTGCCAGATGGCCTTGTTTCTGCTTGCGTTGTATAGTACCAAGATTGAACCGAGGGGGTGTACCTCATTCTCTCCGGCCCGTGATGGTGACCCCTAGGCTCAGTTGTTACCTCGCACAGCACGCACAGGGAGTGGAGGACTCCAGAATATCTGTCGTTGATTTCTATTGACTTGCGGACCCCTCGGGGCCATTTTATTTGAGTGTACCTTTTTAAGGTAAGTGAAAAGCCTGCGACCACGGGAATCGACCGCGTCGAGCATTGTAACACTACGGCTTTAGTCTACGCAGCAAAATCGATTAAGCAAACATATGGGATAAAGTATTCAATCCGTGCTTTGGGGTTAGGGTTAGGGTTAGGGATAAGGTCTGCAATCCCGCGTAGGCGGTCCCAGTACGGACATACGAAGGTACTGGGTAGAGAGAGATCGGAACGGTTTTAGATGTGAAGACAGCAACAACGACAACAACAACAACAACGTTCGGCTTGACTGAAACCCAAGGATCCCGACCTCTGGCACCCAATCTGATCAGCGCAATCGCACAAACGTAGATATATAGAGCTGACTCGGATGGGCTTAGTGGAGCTTTAGGCTAAGGGCAACATCATCAACTGGACCGCTGCACACTCTAGCGCGGAAGGCGCCCTTTCAATACCCGGGTGTACTCTACACACTCTGTACTTAACACACGCCGAGATGTTGTTTGTTGTTGTTGTTGCCATTTCTCAAATTAGCTCGATAGTCCACAAAAAATGGGGAGCCCGTGGTCTCAAAACCCGGCACACACGACGCCACACGGGGGAAATGATATATTGGGGGGGGGATGATGCGTCGTGTCCCCTTTTCGAACATGCCTCAAAAACGGCCACGCGCATCTTTTTCCCCAGCCGCCCACAAGCATTAGCCTCATCATTCGCCAGACGTTGAATTTGGCTCAGGAGGAAATAAAAACTGCATCGCTACAGCCAGACCAAAAAGGTGAGTGCCTGGCGTATGTATGCGTGTAGCAGGTGTGCGTTCGTTCCTGTCTGGAGGCGCGTGAGTGGTTGGGTGGGCTAGAGATTCCAGGATACGAGCATGCTCTTCTCTCATCACTAGGAAAAACAACAGAAAATTGAAGCCCACCAAAAAGGTTGTGCGAACAAGTAGATGAAGAAGAGAGCAGGGTGTGCAAGTTGTGTGCGATTGAGCCCGCGTCAGCGTCGCGCTGTGATCTTTGGAGGGCCCTGCTCACCCGAAGCGGGTGCGCGTGCCGTGAACTTAAAGTTACATCTACCGCTTGCCCGGCGAGCGTCGTGCCCTCCTCCCCTCTCTTGTGCTGACAAGAATAATGCTGGTCGTTGGTGTTCGCGCGTGATTTTTTACTGCCCGCGCGAGCAGCAGCAATAAGAACACAAAACGACAAGAGGGCGGGGAGCAAAGAGCGAGCACACACCCAAAAAAATGAAGCGGGTGGGCTTGCCGTGAACTTGAAGTTACATCTGGCCCTTGCCCGGCGAGCGTCGTGCCCTCCTCCCCTCTCTTGTGTTTACAAGAAAAAATGCTGGTCGTTGTTGTTCGCGCGTGATTTTTTTTGCCCGCGCGAGCAGCAGCAAGGAGGAACACAAAACGTCAAGAGGGCGAGGAGCAAAGAGCGAGCACACACCCAGAAAAAAAGAGCCGGAGAGAAAAAGAGCTCGCACGTGAATGAGTACAGCAGCTGTGGCGTCGGCAGCCAGTGGCATCGCCCGACGCTCTCGCATCCGCGGTCTCGACGGCCTCGCGCGGAGGAGAAGCTTCCATGGCACCCCTCCGGTGTCCCCACCTGAAACACCAGCACCAGCAGGCTCGGCAGCAGCAGCTCTCGCCCCGAACCGACCGCTCGCCAGATGCAGGTCCCTGACCTCGGCCCCATCCACCACCGGGGGCGGCGGCGGGAGGAGGAGCTACACCAGCGCCGCGCGCGTGACGTCCGCTGCGCGGCGCGGCGGCGATTGGTCCGACGACAGCTTTGTTTGGGCAGATGGCATCAACTTCGGCGGGCAATTTCTGGCCGGAGCGGTGGCTGTGGCAGGAGCTCTGGTGGCGACATCGTCGGGGGGAGGACGAGACTTGGACAACGACAGGGTCGGAGGAGACATCACGAGCTGGGGCAACGACAGGGCGGGCGGCGGAGGCGGTGGCGGCAGGGGTGGCGTTCGGTGCGATGCATCAGCAGCGGCAGTGTCGAGGCACCAGCATGTAGCGTCAGCGGAGTCTTCCTCGTTCCGAGAGGCCTGCAGCACGGACAGTCAAAACAACAAGAGTGGCGCTATGCTCAGCAGGAGCAGCAGCAGCAGCAGCAGCTGCTGCGGGAGCGAAGTGATGCAGGTCGGCGCGAGGGCCTTGTCCTGCTTGGAGCCGAGCGCAGTGGCGCCGGCGGCGCGCTCACCGGCGCCGAGCATCACCGACGTGTATTTCTTCGAAGGCGCCGCGGAGCCGGTCATCGGCCGAGGACAGCGAAGCGTCGTGAGCACTGCCAGGCACCGGCTGACGGGGCAACCCGTGGCTGTGAAGAGACTCGCGCGCGCGGAGACTACTCGCTTAGAGGTGAGTTTTTCCAGGGAGGAAGAGAGAGAGCGAGCGCGCTGGTGCTCAAGCAAGTTGTTGCGCCCCCCAGCACCGGGGGGGGTCATTTTTTGAAGTTTTGTTCTGTGGCTGTGGTATAATGGTTGTTGAACGAACAGGCTGTAGTGCACGTTGTTGCGTCAGACCGGATCCTTTGGGCGTGTTGGGGTTCAAGTTCAGAATAGTATTCTCCGTCCCCTCTTTTGTGCGAGGAACAGGAGGGGAGTGTGTCCGCGAGCGTAGGCAGCACCAGCAGCAGAGAAGCAGGGTTGGGAAGACGGCAAAGCGTTATCCCTGCTCGGCTTGACGTTGTACTTGCACTACTGTTTCTTCAACAGCGTTCCTATAAATATCTGGGGGTGACAAAGTGTGCCTTCCTGACTTTTTTTTTTTTTCCATCATTGGACTCTGTCGTCTGCCCCTCTGGCCCCTATCCTCCACCTCTACCAGCTAGACGACCCAACCGGGGCCACACAAAGGGGGGGTAGGACTCCCTCCCGCGGTTTCTGCCTGAGATGTTTTATCGCGAGAAGGGTACAGCTATCCCTTCCCTCGCGACATATCAAGTCGATAAAGTTTACTAATAACGCGCTTTGCAGCGCATCGCTCCCAACGGAGACCTGGATGTAGTCAGTGAGAAGAAACTCCCTCTGTCGGGACTCGACCCCATGACCTGGCCCTGAGCAGGTTGTGAGGTAGACCACCGGGGCGACCGGTGTAGATGTACACGCTGATGCATATAACTCATTTTGTTTTCACCCCCATGATGTAGCAACATGCCATGTTGTGTACTTCAATAGGCATGTTTCAGTCGGTGAGAAGAGATAACGGCAGTAGATACAGACGTTGCATCTGCAGGGACAGTGCGCGGGAAGGGATGGTTACGGTACGTTTGGGTTGCCTTTGACCCCGGCTTAACACTATCATGGCCACTTTTGCGGAAACGCTGTCTGTAGACTTGTCCTGAGGCGAGTACCAAAACTGGCTCTCTTTATCTGAACACAACACCGATATTGTAAGGTTTGGTGTTTCGTGTTATTTCCAAGTACTAAGTACATCACGAAGTGGTAGTTTTCCTTTGGTCTCTTAGCGTTTTTCCGGCGGCGGTACAGACTAGAAAGCTGTCGAGACTGGCCGCGGCAGAGTCTTTTCACATGCAATGTCACTTCTTATCCCTCGAGGAACACAACCCGGCTGTGTAGTCTTATCAAGCACGTGTCTTTCGCGTCGCCGCCGGATAAGTGAGAAACAAATACGCTTCAAACAACGACCACTTTTTTTCTGTTTCAGCGACTCTTGCTTATTTATTTCTGCATTGATGTACTCTTCAGTATCTATCGCCTCACGAATCCATCTCTAAGGGAAGAGTCGAAGATACTCTCTTGTCCAACCGGTATTCCGGTATGCGTGCATATGCATGTACTGCTCGAACGGGCCGATCTCTGCCCGCGGATGGAAGCCAGGGATTTTTTCGTTGTTGCAGTCATGCTTTTTTCGTCGCACTTTCCGCCTGGTTATCTCACCCTTCCCTCTCTTGAACTGGAGAGGTCCGATGCGTGGACATCATTACACCTCAAAATTCTTTGACGTTGGGTACCATACATACGCATACGGGAGTACGTGCACGTGCCTCCCTTTCTTCTCACAGCGAAACTTGCCACGAAATTTTCATTCAACAGGTTTCCCACGAAACCGCTCTTTCTGCGGCAGCCGCAAACCCGCGCTCTTCTCGTAGAACAAGGCGTACACCACAAAAAACTTCCTTTGCTGTCAGTGTAGAATATTTTCTCAAAAGCCCCGCACAGCAGAGCATCCTCCCTTTTCACAAGGTTGGGGTCGCCTGACGTCACTCATTTGTTCAACCGAAAAATATCCCCCGCATGTGATTCTTTGATTCGCTACGCAGCGCGGCAATGTTCTAGAGCCGACAACAGCAGTTGCGTCACACTTAATGCGAAACCCAGCAAATTGTTGAGCAGTGTTTCCAAGTTGTGCTCACTACCATTGACGTACACGAGACATCGCCCTTCTCCCATCACATGATCTCAAGGCTCGGATTGTCTGAACGCTGAGATAGCCTGGTTTGTCCAGTGGGCTCGTGAAACCACTACATTTATACCAATTCTTTTCAACAAGCGCTTCGACCAAACTGGCTGAAACGCCCGCAAAGAGGCGGGGGGCAGCAGGCCATCAACCGTTGCGTTTGACGAGCCCCCTCGGTTAAACAGAAGTCAAGGTTTTGCGTTTGGAAGTATTTGTTTCGCATATCGACGGAGGAGACATCTGAGTCTCAGTTTACGTACGGAAAAACATCTGAGTCTCGATTAACGCAAGACCCCTCCCCCGCTTTCCACCCGCTTTGCGCCCGCCACACATCCACGCACCCGGGCAGGTGATGGAAGAGGTGCAGATGCTCAAGGTCGCTGGTAAACACCCGAATGTGGTGACCATGCAGGCGTTTTTCGAGGACCAGGAGGCGTACTACATCGTCATGGAGATGTGCGAAGGAGGGGAGCTGTTCCACCGCCTCGCTGACAAGGTGGCTTTTTTTGTCCCACCAGTGCTGTATTTGCAGTTGTCGTATGGTCCATCCAAGACAATTTTTTCAATGACGGTTTGTGCGATAACTTTCGAAAAAAATCGAATGGAAACTTGAAACAACTTTGGCCGTGACGGCGGCGTCGAGTTGCGTCGATATCCGGTGAGATTTTTTAATTCGGGTGTTTTGCGACATTTTCGGACCAAAATGACCCACGGTGCCCCCTAACCCCCCATACCCTCATCATATCATGTCACGGAACCCCCTATACCCCCCTAGCCCCCTACAACGCTTTAACCTATACATCTGAATGTGCAACGGCCCTGCTTACCTCGCCATGACGGCACACAAAACACCCACCCTATCAACGATGGACCATACTGCTGTTGTACATGACACAACCAACACTCGACTCTTCGTTTAAAATGAACCCGCGGCAGATACTAGCGCCCGAACTACGAAGTAACGCTGCCCTCTAGCTACCGAGGGTAATCCGAAAAACATTCGGCAGGCATGCCACAATAACCGCAATCTCTTAAAAAATGATTTGCACATGATCGCCACAAATCAAACACACGGACTCAAACCAACTGGACACCTGGCTATCCCCCGCGTGCGCACGTCCGAGTACCGGAGAAATTATTCAACAGACAATTTCCACGCTCCCCACGCTCCGCGCAATATCGAACGAAGCACCAAAGGCCGCAGTGCTCGCTCCCTCTTCCACGCCGTGAAGACCTCGTTCGCCCTTAGGATGGCCTTACACCTCATCTCCCGCTCGGCCGCTAGCGCCTCCCTCTCTGCTTCCTTTTTCGCCTCCTTCGACTTCCCTGCCTTCTTGCGCCGGGCGATTTTTGAGCGGTGAGGTTGCGCCGCACTCCGAGGCGGCCCAACCTCTGGACACACAGCAGTCTCTGCCGTTCGAACTGCTGCGGACATGACGCATGCATCAGCAGACCCTACGAAAGACAGCGTGGCCTGTCCACTACCTGAGGAGGCACCAGTGCTCTCGTCGCGATAGTCCTCGTCGCGGTCTTGGTCGTCATCGACTTCCATGGTAGAGAGGGTGCTGTCATCGGGGGTTGGTGGATCGGCAGCTGACGCAGAGCACTCACGGCGCTGGAATTGGCCGCCGCTTCCCCTTTGAGGTGTGCGGCGGCGCTTATTCCGCCGACCCATGACGAATTTGGGTGCTGAGCACCGTTGCAGAGCGTGTGGGGGTGGGTTGCGCCCTGCGCACAAGCTGGGTGGGGGCTCGCGTAGCCACGGGGGAAAACTCCTCCCCGCTTGCTGGGCGGCCAAACAAAAATACAAATATCTCGCGAACGGGAGTTTTTTTCGACAATCGAAAAAAAAACCCACCTGGGGATTTTTGAGAGGAATCGATTGCCGCGGTCTATTTTAAAATCGTACGGTTGAATATCGCAGGAAAAACCAAGCCGAATGGGACCCCAGATCTAGTTTTTCGTCCATAACTTTTTTTTTTTTTCCTCAAATCGAAATCGGAAAAAAAAAAAACCACCTGGGGATTTTCGAGAGCTATCGAAATCCGGTCTCAGAATTGTGCTCTGAGAAAAACACACCCCAGGAAAAACTAAGCCAAAAATTCGGGATATTTGGAAATAACGAAGAAGCGGAACAAAAAAATAAAAATCGCTTTCCGTAGATCGATGCGCCTGGAAACAGGGCGTTTGCCGGTACTGTACTCTCGGATATGGCAACAACCACCTGTGTGCAGAGAAAAGTGCACCTAAATGCCGAACTGGTCATTGGACACATTGTCTTGGATGGACCTTACCTAACTTCGATATGTGCGTGTGTCCACATGCGCGTGTTTGGTGTTGAGCATCGAACCGCGTTGTGACTGCCCAGGTTGTGTGCGTGTGTTGATTTTTAACATCGACCGCGCCACAGTAGTAATAACCGGCTGACCAAACATGCGAAGGCTTGAGTAGTCTTGTACAATACCGTAGCGGGATACAGTACACAACGCGAAGACGACTTGCGTGTCTGCGCGTTCATCGTTCCGTCTGTCCCTCCTGGACGTTCGTTCGTTCAGCATTGTCACCTTCGGGTGAAGTGGTGAAGTACTTGGAAGTACAAGTTGTTATGCTGGACGCTTGCATCCATCAGCCGGGGGCCCAGGGGTGCCCCAAGATGGGTGGGGGAGACATGTATTTGCACCGAGCCGGTTGGTGAGTTAGATGCTCTCGTGTCTTGGCTACTTCCGAGCACACATGTAATTATCCCCAGCTAGCTATATGTTCATGAGTAGGTACCATTTCTCCCGCAACTCGTCTCGATCGCAGTTTGTTGGCGGACTCGTAGACTTGCTTGCTGCAGTAGGTTCGCCTACAGAGCGGGTGGTGGCCGCAGGGCGGGTGAGAGAACAGTCCTAATCAGTGTAATGCGTTGTTTCATTTGATAGGGTGGTTGCCGGGTGCGCGCTATGGAGGGGGGGGGGGG